CGACGTCTTACCCCGCTCTACCTGTCTTTCCCCGGTTCCTAGATGAGGAATGTAAATTCCCTGAATAGGCGTTCGTCTGAGATGACTGTCTGATTGCGCCGCTAGATTGGAGGGGAAGCGATAATCTAAGAAATAACCATAAATGGGAGAGTTATCATCTTGCGTGGGTTGGAAGACAGGGGATAGAGACTAGGAAGATGAGCCTTCCCAAATATGCAATGAGCGAGTAGCAGTAGAGGGAATAGCGAAAAGAGGAGCGGTAGGAGGTTTGTCGCCAGTACGGATTATGGAAGGGTTCATCCTGGAAGACTCATAGGTCAACGAAGTGAAGAATTGACTGACCTTTGACCAAGGATGAAGACGTGATGATAAATGACTGACCGCTATGCTAATTGGAGGACCCGTAGGTTACGACCAGAGAGTAGCCCTAAGCCAAAATGGGCGAACGAGTAAAATGACTCTTCTCCGGATCGGCTGACGGAACTCGAATGTGATGTTGGCCTGCACATTCGCTTACTCGAGTGGTGCTGCTGCTGTACGCGTGCCAGAGGGAAGCGGCAGGGAAATCCAGCAACTCCGGTAACCTGCGTCTACCGGAGTTCTCCCGGTGACGTATACCGTTTCTGGGAGTGGGGGTAGTGCCATCAAGGCCAGCGACGTCTAAATGCATCCTGGGTGAGTGCCACAGTCCCTGGTCCCTGGTCCCTGGTCCATCACCTCGCGTAGTCCTTCTGTTGATTTCCGCATCCCATAACCAAACCACTAATCTTCTTAGTGCAGGAGACAATGCCATATTGAGGGAGACTTGTAGATGGTCAAAATCGAAGGTGGTGATCAGATGCAGTTGGACGTTTCACATCACAACCGTCCTGTGGGACCAAAACACACTCTGGTGCTGTACCATCCGCCGCATCCGGTAACCGCCAGTCAAGACTTGATGGTGACTGCGGAATACTGCAACCAACCATGGGAACTCAGTTAGGGCGAATGCTTGGCAACCCCCTGTCAGGGGTATAAGGCAAAATGTTGAATCCAAAAGGGCATTTGACAACTGTTGAAATTTCAAAGGGGTATTCCACAACTTTTAGGGGTATTTTACTATTTTAACATATTCGTGAATTGTTTTTTTTTATTTAGTTTTTATTCATGAATTTTCAAGGGCCGTTCGCAAATTTCCCCTCAAAAGGAACAAGGAAGTCCAGTCTGAGAACGCGCAACCCACATATGCTGCAATCGCACTCCGTCGTGGGCAACTTCGGGTCTCGCTCCGCTACTGCCAAACGGGGGAAAATGAAAAGTGTTTTTCACTTTTACCGGGCAAATAGTGGAGGGACGTCATCTCTACTACTCCCACACCGCTACCCGCCAAATGGGGGTAAATGGAGAGAGTACATGTCCACTTTTACCGGTTCCATACATTCACCGCCACTACTCACATTGGACGACTAGCGGATGAAAGTCACCTGTCATCCCACAGCGCCATGCAACCCTGCTCTGCTTCCGTAGCAGCGCTACGCAAATCCTAACGAACATCAATCCTGCTCTGCGCTTTGCAGGGCAGCCGAGAGGTTACTCACACTACCGTACCAGGGTTTTTCTTCACGAATCGGACCGCAATTACAGCCTGTCCGACATGCATGCACCTGACTGCAATTACGTCCAAAGATCTCTCGGGACAATCGTACCACGGGGACGGCAGCTGATGAGAGGGGAAGCGAGAAGCGAATCGAATGGATCGAATCGCAGCGAGAAGTAAGGTGGATGGTGACGAGTGCGTAGCTCCTCCCATCCCTTCTTTCCTCCATCGCTGCATCCTGTCTGGCTCCCTTCTTGAGTCGCGGGGCATTTCTGTCATTTGGGCTCGGTATCTTCCCCTCCCGGCGGTCTACAGACACGCTTTCATGGCAAAAAAAGTAAAAAAAGAAACAGGCGGTTTCCTGTACATGCACTGTAGCAGGGAGTCGGTATTGCGAAATGAATGGAGTTTCCAGTACATTTCATGATGGGCGAGGGTCGCGTCTGTCGTATACGAGGGCAAGGTCCCAATTTCACGGATTAAGAGAGTCTGGCCGTTGATCTTTGCAATCTACGGTCAATGTCGCTTAGTTCGTGCAAGTGGGACCTAGCCCCGGAATAGGTCCAATGGAGATATCGTACGGTGGTGTTACGATCGATATGGGTGAGGACCGAGAGGTAAGTAAGGAGGGAGAGGGGCAGGCGGAAAGGTGGGGGAGTTGGGAAGGGAGGGCGTGGGGAGCGAGATGAATGAGTGGTAGGGGGGTGTCAGAGCCGGACAAGAAGAGAGAGCAGCAGCAGATACGATAGAGGAAAGGACACATGGGCGCCCAGAACGCTCGCATGCAGGCGGGGGCAGGCGGGCAGGCGGGCAGGAGGGTAGGAGGGGCAGGTAGGCAGTCCGACGAGAAACAGGTAGACGGGTAGCGGGCGGGCTTCTCGTCTTTTCGTGAGAGAGCACCAGTGGTAGTGAAAAGAACGGAGGCGATGAGATTAGTTGGGTTGGGTTGGGTTCTTTAGGCGGCATAGGTGAAAACTGGACGACAACATCCAGCAGGAAGTGGGGGCATGCTTTGCGGTGGTGGTGGTGACGTCTCCCTTCCCGCCTACAGTAGTATCCTACCTGTCCCAGTGTCCCTTGTGCGGGGTCCAGGGTCCATGGCCCAGCAGGTCCGGGCCCGCGCGTACTATACTCTACGGTAGTCCCAAAGTTCCCGCTCTCGAGAGAGACCGATGATGAGCGCGAGACAGCCAGCAAGCGCGCGCGAGAGAAGCTTCGAAAATATTTGTTTTTCGTGATCGTCTCAGCGCGCTATTGACAGATTCCCCGAGGCTCACACTCTCCCGCGACTGTCCTGAAACCGCCGCTTTGTCTTCTTCGAAACATCCCATCCAGCTCGCTTCAACAATCCATACCTTTCCGCTCCATGCATCATCCATCGGCAGCTTCGTCGTTGTAGAAGAGCGCGTGAAGTTCGTAACAGGGCGGCTCCGTTTTTGAGTGGTAGTCGTCTGATACTTGCCGCCTGTCCGTGGTGAAAGTTTGGTGGCTGGTAGATAGGAGCAGTGGGAGGGGGAAGATTCAAGACAGAGATTCTCGCAATCGAACTATGTGGGCACAATCTGGCCGTAAGTGCGATTACAACCGCTAAAGAGTGTTGATTGGTCGTAGTGGCACAGCACTGCCATCAGTCAGCTTCAGTTGTTTCTCCTCCGCCCGTTTGTCGAGGGCAAACTTGATTGATGGATCAGGCATGCACGCAGCTCTCAGAAGCATCACACCCATTACCTTAGGGCATATAAACCTCACACTGTGACGTTTCTGGATGCAGCTAACCTCAGCACAGGCCGGATTGAGTGTGAGTGGAGGCAGTCCCACAGTGACTGTGAGTGTGTCCTTGTACTGGTCTCCTTGCTCACTTTTCCTCTCCTCGCTATTGATTTGATCATTCACCCATCTTCCGTCCAGTTCCCATCGTCTCCACGATTCAGTTATCTTCTTCTCTTGTGTAATTGTCAGTAGTGGGACTGCTTGCGGTCTTCTACATTGCACGTCGTTCCTCCTGTCGTCGCAGCATGTAGACTGAAGCGTCGAGGCTGCGCATGAGAGAGAGAGAGAGAGAGAGAGAGAGAGAGAGAGAGAGAGAGAGAGAGAGAGAGAGAGAGAGAGAGAGAGAGGGGGGGGGGGGGGGGGGACGACCACCAGGTCGCGTTGAAAGAGAAGACAGATTGCCTTGTTTTTGGTTGCCGTCTAGGAGAGCATTTGTTTTTTTTCTTTTCTTGAGAGGATGGGTGGGATTGGTGGTAGCCTGACCGAACCTGTCAGCGAGTAAATCGTTGGCGCTGCGGATTGTGCCCATCCATGCATTCCGGAGTTTGTGGTCGAGGAAACGCATCGAGGTGTTCCTGTGTCGTTCGCGGGCAAGGAAACGTTGAAGGTGTTCCTGTTTCGTCGAGCGGAGGGAGGGGAAAAAGGAGAGATCGTCTCAGCAAGAGAAACAGCAGCAGGAGCAGGAGGAGCAGTAGGAGCGGTAGGAGCAGCAGGTGCACCAGTGGCAAGAAGGCCAACCCTTAGAGACGGCACGACAATCACCTTCACCTTCACCTTCACCTTCACCTTCACCTTCGCCTTCGTCGACCTGTCACGAGCCCCAGCGGCTATGAATTGGCGGGAGATCGTGGCTTATTACGGTAGTATTGTGGTGAAAGGAGGATATTCAGAAGTAGTAGCAGCCGATATGATTACCCCACGCCCGCCTTATGCTCCGGCATTCTCGCGCGGCAGTAATGCGCTTCTTTTCTGTTCCGCGTCCGGCGGAATGGTGATGAGGTGGTAAAGGTTTTCCGGTTGCACAGTCGGATCACGTGGCCATACCACCGACCGCCCTAAGGACGGACTGACCGGCAGAACGAAGGCGTGCCCCGAGATTAAAACAATGGCAGTGTAGGTCCTGTGGAGGCCACCCAAACTTCATATCCAGTTCGTTAGGTGTCCAGTCACGGAGCAATCACAGCGCCAGAACATATACATCCTCTCACGCAAGAGTGTTTTACTCTGTGCGCGGCTGGCCGGACGTACGGACCGTCGTGTGTGTGTGTGTGTGTGTGTGTGTGTGTGTGTGTGTGTGTGTGTGTGTGTGTGTGTGTGTGAGAGAGAGAGAGAGAGAGAGAGAGAGAGANAGAGAGAGAGAGAGAGAGAGAGAGAGAGAGAGAGAGAGAGAGAGAGAGAGAGAGAGAGAGAGAGAGTGAGAGAGAGAGAGAGAGAGCGAAAGCAGGAAGAATCTGTCCGAGGTTTTTCTTCTGCAAGCACGCACCCGACCCGATATCCGACGACGAAGAGGAGAAACGAGGAGGGGAGGAGAAAGGGAGGATCAGTCAATCAAGGCAGCCAGATCGAACTGTAAATGGAGGCTGTGAAAATGTTGAGCTCAGCACCTCCGACCATTTCATCGTCGGGGGAGCCAAGCGGTCCTTCTGCAGTGACGCCGCTGTGTTCAAGTGGATGCCCTTCCACGCCTTCTGTGTTTATTCGCACGAGTTGCATCCCCGTCTCCGCGCCCATGTCCCTGCCGGTACCATCTACCGTCTCCACCACGACCTCTGTCACGGCATCTCTTATGCATCAGCAGTATGAGGGTGCGGAGTCCGTTTCGGTATCGGGGGTGGGAATGCTACCGCGGTCGTTTCTGCCAGTGGCGTCGCTGGGATCAGCGCCGCCGCCGCCACAATGCGTGCAGGTCAGGTCCACCGCGACGGTCTCGGTGCTTGATGGCAGAGAGGCGCATCAGGACGCTGCAGCGACGACGACTTCGTCGGCGGCAGCGCTAGCAGCAGCAGCAGCAGGAGGAGGCGGAGGAGGAGGAGGGAGCTTTTCGCTGGAGGATCCGGTGCTAGGTACGGCCCCGATGTCCACGTCGGGTTTCAGCTTGGATATCCCGACGGCGCTGCAACTGTCGGTAGCAGCGCAGGAGGCGGTGGCATCGGCAGCAGCAGCAACAGCAGCCGCCGTGGCGGCGGCGGGAGCGGAGGCCGTCGTGATGCCGGCAAGAACGGAGGATGATATGTTGAAGTCGATTGGTGCGCAACAGGGGTGCTCGCCTGCGTCAGAGGACTCTGATCCTCTGCCGATTGCTCCAGTGCCGTTGTCGTCAGGGCCGGCCGTGCTCTCTAGCCCCATGCCCACGCCAACGATCTCGTCGGATTCCACGGTGACGACGACCGCCCCATTGCCCATGCCATTCAAGACACTGACGGCGTCGTGCCCTGCAGTGGCATCGGCGACAGCGGAGTTTACGACCATCTGCTCCTCGTCCGCAATGCCCATCAATCCGATGTCAGTGCTGAGTCATCACGGCGGAGAGGAAGGGGGGGGAGGCGGCGCCGGCGTGAGTGACGGGTTGGCCGTTGCGCCGTTCGACCTGGCCTCGGTCGTTGGGGGGGCGGGTATTGGTGTGATCGATGTGGCGGATCCATTGACATTAGCGAAAGTAATCCAGCTGAATCATGAACATGAGCAGAGACAGCAGGCGGCGGCAAGAGGCGTGATAATCAAAGACGAGCTGCAGCAGCACGGCATCACCGTGGTGACGGCCTCAGCGGCTATGGCTACGGCGGTCGCTGTCTCGGAAGCCATCGGGGTCCCATCTGCTACGCCATCGTCGCTGCCCCCCCCGCTCCCGCCTCCTCCTCCTCCTTCTCCTTCTCCTCCTCTTCAATCCCTCTGCACGCCGACTTCTTCCGCCACAGTCCTGTCTCCTTCCCCGCTGCCGCCGACGTCGCTCCAGCTTCACGACATTCCTGTTGCGCACCCTTTGACATCGTTGAAGCGGGCTTACGATCTCGCCGCGGGCGGCGATGAGCCGCCGCCGCCGCGCCTGCCCAACGTCGTCTCCGTCGAGTTCATCCAGAATCGCCGGCCTTTCCGATGCAGCCACGCCGGCTGTGAGAAGACCTTCAAGAACCAGCAGACGCTGATGATGCACCACAAGACGCACTTTGTGGAGGACGGCTCGCTGAAGCTTGACATGGAGGGGATCCCGATGGGCGTTAGGGCGGGGCGGAACAAGAAGATACCGTCGTGCTGCCCGGAGTGCGGGCGCACCTTCGTCGGATTGTACGAGCTCCGCCGGCACTACGGGCGCAAGCACTCCCAAGGCGAGAAGATGTTCTCCTGCAAAAAGTGCGGGAAGAAGTTTTTCATCGACGTAGACCTGCGCGACCACGAAAAGTTTTGCGGCGAGGCTATTCAGTGCAGGTGCGGGATGAAGTTCGCGTACAAGTGCAACCTTGTGGCTCATAAGAAGGCGAACCCAGCATGTCAGGGCGGGGGACCGGGGCAGGTACATCATCATAATCATCATCATTATCAGCAGCAGCAGCAGCAGCAGCGGCAGCAGCAGCAGCAGGTGACCGGTTCGGCTGCAAGGCAGCAGCGGCAGCAGCACGCACTAGCGGCGGTAGCAGCGGCTGAGGGGCAGAGGTACAAGAAGCTGTCTTCCTCCTCCGCCTCTTCCTCCACCTGCGCCGCTTCTTCGTCTCCTCTTGCTCTTGGATCGCTGTCGAGAGCGACCATGGCCACGAACGCCACCACTCCCATCGGCCCTGCGGTGTTTCACATTCACCTCCCTCACCAGCGGCAGCAGCTCGATCAACAACTGCAGCAGCAGCAGCAGCAGCAGCATCCGCATCACAATCATCATCATCATCATCTTCATCACCCTCATCAGACGCAGATGGGAGCGGTCACGGCAGTGACGCAGGGAGTACCCATGACAGTTCCTCTGTTGCCATACGTGCTGACGATGCCGCTGCCCTCGGCGACGGCCGTCTCGTCGGCTTTCGCGCGGGATGGCGGGCACTTGACCGGCCTCCAGCTGCAGTCATCCCAGCCAGTGTTGAGCATTTTTGATGCCAGCCGCGGCTCGTCGCACGTGCAGAGTCCAGCTGCAGCTATGGCAGTAGTGCGTGGATCGTGAGAGGAGGGAGGGAGGGGAGGGGATTGAACGGGTCTCCTCGCAGTAAGGACGAGCACCTTTTTTTTGTTGGTGCGCCGGTACGCGTTGAGATGCTTGCCAGATCCCTGTCTCCCTAGGCCTCCCGCCTGCCTGCTGCCTATCTGCCTGCCTGTGGAGTGTGCACCGGTCGGCCTGCGTGCCTTGGCATGCCGCGCGGCAGCTAACGTGCTCTTCGCCTCTGTGTTTGCATAGCCTCCCCGTGTCTTCCACGTGTTCAGGGCAAGCCCCCTCCCCCTTCCGTGGGCGGCCTTTTTCGCCGCCATGGCCTCCCCCAACTGCTTGCGAACCCGCGCCCCCCGCCCCCCCCCGCCCCGCGCCCTTCGAGCGAGCGAGCTGTTCATCCGGGTCTGTGGTAAGATGGTCGGGGTGCGTGCTACCTTCTTTACCCCAATAGAACGCCCAGTCATTTTCGCTGTAAAGTTGCCTCATACTAGTCAGCTATAATGACCAGGCGTTCTATTCGGGTGAAGACAGTCGGAAGGGGGAGGGGCAGGGGGAGGGGCGGGGGGGAAGGTCTTTCGGAGCGTGTGCGCGGCGGCAGCAGCTGCTGCCGCACATGGTGTGGTGGTGGAAGGGGTTTGCACTGAGGGATCCACGAGCGAGAAGGACTCGGAGTGCTGGCTCAACGCGACAGTTGAGTGGCAGTAGCGTCCTTAGTGCCGTGCCGAATCGAGTTCGGTCGGGATCGGGATTGGGATGCCGGTCGGCTAGCTAGAGTCTGCTAGACTACCTCTCTCTCCCTCCTTGAGCGTGGCGCACATCAGCTCTCCCTCCTGGCTCGGCCGTTCTGTTCTTACTGGGACTGTGATTAGCACAAGATCGGTTACAATGCGTCGTCATGGGGCCTCGCTCCACTACTCACCACATGCAGAAAAGACAAAATATAGCGATGTATCTTTCCATTTTCTATCGGAAGATTCATTCTCATTTTGCACATTTGGTGAGTAGTGTAGCGAGGCTCATGGGAGACCTTGGAGCCTTATACGAGTGTTTTTTATGAGACGAGGACGGAGAAGAGTGTGAGTGGGTGTGGTGCAATGACTACCATCTTCCCCCGAACACAACGCACCCCAATCATGACTGCGTCGGACAAGAAAAAAGATATCTTGTATAGCTTCAGAATTTGTTGGGGGGGGGGGGNGGGGGCGTTGTATTCGGGGGAAGGGTGTAGTGTTGGCCACGTCGAAGAAGAAGAAGTGATCGTTCCGTGCTGTGCATGCGCGTTCACTTGGCTTTATTCTCTGCCACTCACTCTCTCTCTCTCTCTCTCTCTCTCTCTCTCTCTCTCTCTCTCTCTCTCTCTCTCACTCTGTGTCTCCCAAATGCCCCTTTTTCTGTGCCTCTTCTGACATGCGTGCTATTCTCGCTGGCCTTTCGCGGGCGCTCACACTGCATTTGTGGCTGTGGCTAATTGCCTCTGTCACTCTGTGCATCTCACGTGGTCGTTTTTCTCTTGATCGGTCGCCCCCGAGCTTACTACACGCCCCCTTCTTCTTTATCTTTTGTCCATGTAAAAACGCTTGAGGGCAAAAAGCTTGAGGGCGACACCGGTGTGTCGCCTGTTATACCTGCTTTCCATGGTGGAAATCGGACTTCGACGACTCTGAACGCGTCTCCGGAGACATTGATCATTATCGTCATCATCGTGATCACCATGGTCATCATCGTTATCGTTGTCGTCATCATCATCATCGTCATTACCGACAATATCGGCATCATCGACATCATCGACATTATCGACGTCATCGACATCATCGTTGTCCTGCGTGAGTACTTCTCAAGGGGAACGCAAGAGCAGTCGTTCAGAAGACTTCGGGTAAGCCATCGCTTAATCTGGTACCTCCCCTCTTTTCTTCCTTACCCTCTCGCCCCAGCAACGACCCAAGCTCTCCTTCCTTCATAAATGCCCTTTTTTTTTTTTTTTTTTTAATTCTAAATGCCGTGTTCTCATGTCTATTCATCCACGTGAATTTGTTGGTCCTTTTTTTTTTTTTTAATTCCTATTCGTTTTCTCCTGTGATTATTCTGCAGGGGAGTGTTCCACCTCCGCGGCATTTCAAAACCCCTTTATGAAAATTTGTGTTGTAATAGTGCCTCGATTACGTTCTTTTTTTTTCCTTTTGTTTTTGTTTTCGTTCTCTCAGCTGTTCTTGTCCTTTTTTTTTCCCTTTTTTTGAATTTTTGTTTGGGTTCCCAACAGCTCCAAATGTATTCGTGTGGAATATCACGTGTTCGGAAACGAGCCGAAAGTCCCGTTTTATTTTTTTCTTCACCTTTTTTTCATTGAAAGTGTTCAGCAGTGTCCAGCAGATCTCTTCTATTGTCCCCTAGATCCCTTTTTCTGTTTTTTTTTTTTGTGGGATGTTGCTCTCTGAGGTAACTTTTGTACACAGATCGCAGATTGGGCAAGATCGTCGGAACAGGCCTTTTTTTCCCTTTTTTTTCCCCTTTTTTTCCCCTTTTTTCCCCCTTTTTTTTCCCCCTTTCCCCCCCCCTTTTTTTTCCCCTTTTTTTTGCCCTTTTTTTTTCCCTTTTTTTTTCCCTTTTTTTTTCCCTTTTTTTTTCCCTTTTTTTTTCCCTTTTTTTTTTCCTGTTTTTCTTTTTCGCCCCCCCGGGCCCCGGCAGAGAAGCACTGCGGAGAGGCACAGACGTGTTGTTTAGGAAAAGGCAGCTGATTAGGAAAGGCCACGTCTGGTGACAGTGGTTGACAAGTGCTTGCGGATCCCCAAGAGAGAGGGCCTCGCTGCATTACGCACAAGAAAACTTTCAAAATGAGACTGAATCTTCCGCTAGAACATGGGAAGATACACCGCCATATTTGTTGTCATTTGTGCATGTGGTGAGTAGTCGAGCGAGGCCCAGAGAAAGAAAAAGAAGAGAAGAAAGTCCATGGGCCTGGCTGCACTACTCTCCACATGCACAAAAGACAAAAAACTCTGGTGGTGTATCTTCCCGTGTTCTAGCGGAAGATTGTCTCATTGTGCACATGTGGAGAGTAGAGGAGCGAGGACCGACGTCTCTCTTTTCGTGTGGGGATTTCCATATCCTCTGTGATTCTGTCGGTGTGTTGTTCTGGCGCGATTGCTCGCCTCTCTTCCCCGTTCTAGCCCAACTAAGGTGAGGTAGGGGGGAGCAAAATGGTTTTTTTTTTTTTTTTTTTTTTTTTTTTTTTTTTTTGCAGCTGCACAGATATTTAAGGTTGAAAAGACAGTCCGTGTCTCTTTTCGTGCAGAGAAAAATAAAAGAAAAGCAAGTACTTGTCTGTTTCCGTGTAGGGAGAAGAAAACGGACATTAAAAAAAAAAAACATTCTTCTCTCTTTTCGGTCAATGAAGAAAATAAAAACGCGAAAAAGGACATACATTGTTCGGTCAGTTCGTTGTTTGTTGTGCGGGGCGATTGCCAGCCTTCTTCTTGTTAAATCCATCCCAAGAAAGGTTATAGGAAAAAAAAAAAAGAAAAAAAAAAAGAGAGAAAGGTTATAGGCCGCGCTGCACTACTGAACAGTGGACATGCATTTGGAGGGCTTCTCGTACCGGGTGCATTCCGAGGAGTGCAACTTTCTACGTATCGGGACGATTATGAGGTCCAGATACAAATCCATCCCAAGAAAGGTTATAGGAAAAAAAAAAGAAAAAAAAAAAGAGAGAAAGGTTAATGGCCGCGCTGCACTACTGAACAGTGGACATGCATTTGGAGGGCTTATCGTACCGGGTGCATTCCGAGGAGTGCAACTTTCTACGTATCGGGACGATTATGAGGTCCAGATACACATGGAGTGTTGCTCAGTGGAGCGAGGCCCTGTGTCAGCACGAACGGGGATCTTTCTTGAAGGGATAATAAATTAATAATGAAAGGAGGTGTTTGTGTGTGTGTGTGTGTTTTAATTATTGTTTTTTTAAGAGAAAGTGCGTGTCTTTTTTATTAAGAGCCAAGGGGTTCGATAACAAATAATAATAAAAGATGAAAGTGCTATTCGGTGAGTCTGTTGTTTCTTGTGCGGGCGGTTGCCCGTCAGATTATTCTTTTTTCCATTCCAACTTCCAAGTAAGGTCATGTCAGCAGCAGGTACATTACTGCAAGCATGGGCTCTTATCCCTGCCTGCATAGGGGCCGGCCGCCCGATATTTCAATTAAAAAAAAAAAAAAAGAAAGGTAATGTCACCAGGACTAAGGAGATACAAGTGTTAAATTTCGATCGCTTCTGTCCTTCGGGAACTCGTTAGAACTGGAAAGATACAGAGAAAGAAGACTAGCATGACCCCTGCGCTGGATCGCTTCTCTGATAGCGGGCGGGCGTGAGGCTGAGAGCGTCCTCGTACTGAGAGAGTGCCGCGGCGTTTATTTGGGTATGAACAAGGTTAGGACGTGGCTATTAGATTATTATGGAATAATGAAGGCTAGTGGACCTTCAATCGGCAGATGCCTCATGACACAATGACACATGCATTCTCGCATTGAGCTGTCCTTCAACGGACCTTGCGAAGAAGAAAGGGCATTTGGCAGGGAAGGGACCACACACGCACACACACACACACAGAGCGAGAGAGAGAGAGAGAGAGAGAGAGAGAGAGAGAGAGAGAGAGAGAGAGAGAGAGAGAGAGAGGAGGCATCTGCCCGATGGTTAAGTGCATCCTTGCGAGAAAGAGAGTGCATTTGGGAGGGGGACGGGACACACACAGACAGAGGAACGTACATACACACACAGACAGAGGAACGTACATACACACACACACACACACACACACACGGCAGATGAACGTAAGATGAACAATACGGGAAGTGAAGAAAATAAAATAAAATCTGGGAAGTTGCGGAGTCTTTCAGGTCCTCGCGAAATCGGAAGAAAGAGAACAGGTTTATCTGTTAGCCTTGCTTTTTTTCGCCTTCGCGCTCTGATTCACAGTATATATCCACGTGGGCGGCCTTGCACTGAAGAGGATCTGAACAGGGGGAGC